TTTTGAAAAAATGACATTTTTGTAAAAATTTCAAAAATATGATATTTTTATAAAATAGTACTTGAAAAGTGGCATTTTTTAAAATTTCTCAATTTTTAATGGAATATTTCAGATAGACTTATAACTCGCATGCCCAGACATACTATCACATTCATACATGGTTATAATATTCGGCGATTATATTAATAAAAACTATATACTATACATTTAGAAAAGAAAAAAAAACTATATATATATATATTATACACACCAATCATTTTAAATATTTGTAGACAAAATATAGAATCTTCTTCTTATATGCTGGACTTTTATCCGTCATCAGAAAGCAAGAAAGTGCATGCATCTTAATTTCAAGCACGTGTCTATTAATTTGGGCATGAGTTAGTCGTCACACACGAGAAAAAAATTGAAAGCTTGTTTCTTCTTTTCTTTTGCCTCTTCTATACTTTTTATAATATAGTGGAAATGGAAAGTATACATTAATAACATTAGATTTTTAGTTTACCAAAAAAAAAACCCATTAAATTATACTCTATATTTTATTATATAAAGGAGGATGCGCACGATGAAAACTTGATATATATGTAAAATTATAACTTACCAAATCATGACATGTGTTTACTATTGATTTGATACTTAAAACTAATTAAGAAAAGGTAAAATAAAAATAAAAAACGAACAAAATAATTGTTAAGTAACTAACAAAATAGTAAAAAGTAAAATTTTGCTATATTTCAAACTAATAAAAAAAAAATTTTAATAGTCAAAACTTAAAAGATAAAAAGTTAATATAAAGTAAATTAAGAAAGAGAATAAAGAGTATAAACCGTAAAGATAAAAAGCGGAGAAAAAATAAAAAAAATCAATAAAAAAAATAAAATGTGAATGATAAAATAAAATATTTATTATATAAAAGATGGTGAGAGTGCGATACGTACACAAAATTGTAACTTACTAGATAGTATGTGTAATAATTAAAATTTTATTATATTAAAACAAAACTAAAAATAGAATACTAACAAAATAAAGTTAAGTAACTAACAAAATAATAAAAAGAAGAAATAATCTTATAGGCCAAACTAATTAGAAAAAAAAAAAATTTTAATAGTCCAAACTAATTAAGAAAAATACAAAATGTTTAGTTGTCAAAACTAATTATAAAAAATAAGAAATAAAATAGAGAGAATATAAATCATAAAAAAATAGGGAGAGAACAAAAATTGAAAAATAGTAACTTAGAAAAAATATAAGTCACAAAAAGGTACATAGAGAATAAAATAAAAAGACTTATGAAAAAATAAAAGAGGATATATAAATTGAAAAAAAGAAATTAGAAAGAAATGGAATCCTAATTTAAAAGTTTAAGGTATACACAACCATGTGAGGGAACAGAAAAACCTATAAACATACATTTCAATAGAATTATAGAATATTACAAAAATTGAAAATTTTCGACTTAAAACAATATTGGTACTTTTATTGTTTTTAAAAAGAAAATTGTATAAAATAAAAGTTAAAATGATAACAATATATTTACTATTAAGATTGAAGAATGTTTAAAACTAGGCGAGTATAGATTTCAATGAAAAAGAATCGATGACAATAATGATATACTTTTATTGATTTATGGATTATAGGTTCTTAAGAAATGATTTACATGAAATTTATTCTTTTCTAATTTAACTCTACAGTATTTGAATTATTTTACGATTTTATCACATAATTAATATATATATATATATTCATAATTGGTAAAAATTTACTTTTTAATTAAGAATATGAATTGAATTCCACTTT